TAAAATTTTATTAGAAAAATTTAAAATTTAAAAAAAGTTGCAGGCAAATTTGGCTGCAAAACAATTTAAGGGATAGATATAGGATTGAAGATCAGGTTTAATGACTATAGCAATCCTTTTAATTAACTGTCTTAAAGTTGCATTGTATTTGTCACAGTTTATAGTATATATTTTGTATCAGCTATTAACTAGGCTTGACAGATGCATGTGTTGAGAGAGTTTAGTTTCTGTTAGGATAACAATGTTAATATCTTGATTTGCATAATGTTGAAGCCATATCAGGTACTTCAGATTATTGTTAATTTCTTGAATATTATACATTACAATTTTGAGATGAGTATCATTATACTTGTTGAAGATATAATTATGTAAATGAGTAGAGAGTATATTGTTTCCTAATGGTGAAGAATTAGGAGAGACATTATTGTTTCTTGTGTTGCTAAAGTTTGTGTAAATATTTTCTAACAAATTGTCAGTTTTTTTATTTGTATCACTCAACATAAGTTAGATGGATAGTTATCGATGATGTCCTAGTCCGGGGTGGTAGATCAGATAGATTATATAAGTAGTTAGGTGTACTCTTAATCTTATAGTAAGTGCTTATACTGTTCATAGTGTATTCAATTTCTTTATAGTTTTTAATTGATAGTTGCAGTTGAAGATTAGGATCAAAGTTTGCTAGCTGTTGTTGAAGTTCCTCAATGTTTAAGGGTAGTTGTGGCTTAGTATCTGCATTATTCTAATTTGTTTTGCTTTTATTTGTAATCTGTATCCAATCCTAAGATAGCTGTCTGAAAAAGTAGTAATTTCTTAGCTCTCTCACTATTTCAACGAGGATTTTAAGTGATATAATTGGGATAGTCAAGTTCATCTCTTTAATTTGATTATGGTCTAAGGGTAAGTCTGGTTTGTTAAAGTAATTGACTTGAGCATAATTTTCTGGAAGAGTTTCTGGAACTTTAAATATATCTTGAATCTTAGTAATGAATTGTAATATACTTGTCTTATCTTTTAATAGGAAGTTATATAATCAATTAGTTATAATTGAGTCTGGGTTGTTAAATAGAGGTCTTTTGTTAACAACATAATCATTGGGTAATCTTCTAAATTTATAGTATCAGCGTAATTTTTTAATTAGACTAGTTAATTCGTTATTGTTCCTTGGATTGCAAAGGAATAAGTAATGAACTTCAGAGATAAGTGCTTGAAAAGTTGATAGCAGGTCTAACTTCTCAGAGGGTAGATCAAAATAACTTGTTAGTAATTTTTCTTACAAGATATAGTATTTGCGTAGTTGTCTATGATACTGTGTGAGTAAGGCTAACTTGCTATGGTCCCGAATAGGGAACATATTTTAACAATATTTATTTAGATTAGTAGGGTGTGCTGGGACAGGCTTTCTGGCATTGATAAAGTACTGGTCAGGCAATGCAGCGAAGTGGTATATAAGTCTCAAAGTATGTGCTACCTTTGTAGTTCTACTGTTGTCAGCAATAGGTAAAGAGAATAGGATAATCTCTTGAATATTTACGGGAATCTTTGTTGGGTCTTCTGGGAGTTTAGTGTGATTTAGTAATTGTACTTTGCTAATGATAGATCTTGCCTCTTTAAACTTGATAGTAAATTTAATTTTGCCAAAATTCATCAGATAGAAAATTTGCTAAATGTTTTCATTAGGGTTCCTCAAACTCAAATCAAATCAAATATTAGGCCAATTTGAATTTGATCAAATCAAATTTGTCTTGATTT